CTAAAGTTTCAATATGAACCATTAGACAGAAAGCTTTATTTATGAATCCAACAAGACGATTCTGTTATTATAACTCACTCAACTGCTTTATTTTGAGCATCTAACCAAACTTTGCATTGTGGTTATCTCTATCTGGGCCGTGGAGAGAGGGAACTTAAATTATCATGATTTGAAGCTCGTGGTCACTGATGAAGCTGCTTGTTTGTGGAGTAAGGAGAGGAACTTGTTGCTGTGCCTTGTCCTACCAGAACTACCCCACTGAGATTAACAAAAAGTCTTCAGATAGGACATGGCCCAAATTCAGTCAGCTTTCTATAAACATCATCTACCTCTGATCAGCAGATTGCAATCTTAAAGTTCTGCCAACAGTGATTAGCAACCGCAGTGTCTGCTTCAATATTTACCACGGTTCTTGATATCAACATGTTGGCCCTGGTTCAGCTGTGTCAGCAAACAAGCTGGTGTCTTCCTATCTGAACAGGTAAAGAAATACTTCTGAGGGCCCTCAGAGCTTCTCAGCTCAAGGGGCCAAAGATAAGAAAATCCCTCGTGTTTGATGGCTGCTGTAAGCTCACTATCACAGAGTATTCATCCAAAAAAAAGCAGGAGAGAAAAAACAACCTGTTTCCACTGTATACAGACAAACCGAGGGAGAGTGAAGTAAAGGAGGGGGGGTATTAGAAGAAAAGATGAGTAAATGTTAAGCGCTGGAGAAGAACAGAAAGGGCATCGTCATGGGTCATGATGTCAAGATAAGAGGAATGTACCAGAGGCTGAGGATCAGTGTGTTGGTTTTGAACTGGTAAATACTCCCTGCCAGGATATCCAGTCTGGCCTTTGATGGGTTTGCTTGACTCATGCTGGCTCTAACCACTTTGAACAGGGTGTGCAGTGGGGGAATTTGTCCTGCTGCAGAGTTTAGCTCAACAGACTGAGAAAGAAAAGTCAAACTGCAGACTGCTATTTGATCAATTTGATCAATTCAGCTATTGAATCAGTGCAGCTATCCATGTTAACAGATGAAAAGAGTAAAAAACTGAAGGAGATTGTTTTATTTAACTGTGAATTCAGTGTTAAAACAGTTTGCAACAGCCTCCGAGCTGGTCTCTAACCTGCCTTTGGGAGGTTAAGTGGCTTCATTTAGTTACCAGTTTATGTCAGCTAGTTTAGAATGTTAAGGTTTTTTTTGCAAGTAAATCCAACATTTATCCAAGAGTAGCCATGAATCCATTAACTTCTGTAGCACGCCCACGATATGCCGTAGCCTGCGGTAGCACAGTAGTGCTAAGGTGCTAATGTTTATGCTACCCTCGGACGGAGCCAGTGGCTGCATTCCCAATATGGTAAAAGGGGCGTGACATTTCCGAGAACCGTGCTGAGTGACTGACCAATTACGGCAGAGCCGACAGGCCGACCAATCAGACCAGACTTGGCACACGTGCACCCAATTCACACATACTCTGTGTGCGCCGTGATCCGTCAGCGCCGCGCACTACGTTGTACTTAGCTTCCACTCTAGTCTATCATTGTGTTCACACAGTACGCGCTGCGGTCCGTCTCTGGCGCGTGCCACCGACGGCACTACGCTCTGCTCCGTTTCAAACACGCAGCGAGTCTATTTTTGCCAGAGTACACTGCAGGAACGCGTCAAGCAGGACAGAATATGACAGACGGACAAGAAGTCAGACAAGGAAACACACAGAGCATCCGGTCAATTTAAAAATAAAACACAATATACGGACTCACGATCGTATTTTTTCATCACTTTATCAAAATTACGTCAAAACAGGTACTGAATGAACAACAGAAAGACAAAGCAACATGTTGTTTGCATGTTTTTCTCTTTATTCCCGTGGGATCTTGTAGTTCTCCTGCGCTGCGCTGCGCTGACGTCCCAGAAACGGATCCAGTGTGAATGGGCGCGAGCTGTCCGACGGAGCAAACCATGGCACTGACGGACCGCGGCGCGCACGGAGTGTGTGTGAATTGGGTGTTATAGAGAGAGTCAGAAGCGAGCCGGTGCATGGAGCGGCAGTACATGAAAACAGACACTTTTTTCAAACTTTAGTTATTGTGAACGTACTTTAGTAGGTACATAGATTAAATATACGAACCCCAAAAAGGGCATAATATGACCTCTTTAATCTGTCAGTCTTTTTCAACCTTCAGTGTTCTCATGCATTCAGTTTTCAACCCAAAGATAAGCCTCACTATTCTAACCACACACAGAGAGAATCAGGTGAAAAACATTACTCTCTCTTCCTGCTTGTGATAGCAAAACCTTCCATATGCTTGAGTAGCTGTTTATATTCTCCCCCGGCAGATCTAAGGATTTTTTTTGTGTTTGTCTCTCTATCTATGTTGTCTATCACCGACACACCAGGTCCTCTGTGGCCTTCTCCACTCAGCCGCTTTGCTCAAATCTCTGTGAAGTGGTGAAGGACGCTGCCCCCTCTAGTCTCCCGCGGTAATACTGAGATTTTCAGGAGTGGCACTGTCTTTGTGAAATGCAAATGAAATTGCAGCTGTGAAAATAAATAGGATAAAGAGTCTGTTGTGTCTTCCGCCTTATCCTTTAAATGACACTTTTTAGCTTTAAGTTGGAAGTCAGCTTGTCGGTCTGTCTGTCACTAAAATATCTTTACGTCATTAACTGATAAATAAATCTAGTAATATCTGCACATATCTGCAATAAGTTTAAAATAAGATTAGCTGATACTGATTTATCGGCTGGCCTATTAATCAGACTGGCTCTACTTTCAATAACCACATTCATCATTTTAACATGCTGGATATTAATACAGCAATATATCGTCGACTACTCATGTAATATTTTAACATTTTACTTTATATGTATACAAATAGTTAGATTGACTGTGACAATCTGCATACATCACATGTAAGTTTTTATCACATGTATGCGTGTGTGCTTCTCTGTTTATAAGTGGTTGAGACACTTAGAAGAATAACAAAGGCCTCTGGCTAATCAGAATCCATTTATTACTATGGGCCCTTTAGCTATCAGCATGCCATCAGCCCTATTCAGACTGACGTTTCAAGGCGTAATATTTACACCCTGTGACATTTTGCCTTCAATATGAATGTATCAGAGGCGTAATGGGAAGACCAAATTATTGCCCCCTCTGTACCGTCTTTTGAAGTAGTAACAGAGGCATTACAGGGGTGAGACGGGATCCGGGGCCAGCGGGGGAGCTGTGCATGTCTGACTGTGAGTGTATGTGGAGCTCCCGCTGTGCCTTGCTCTTTTGCGCTTCTGCAACGCTGTATAATATGAAAGTACAAAACGTGATGAAGGCCGAGCTTAGTTACAGCGCTATTGTGGAAACGCATGCTGAAATGGGATATCCTAAAATACAAAGAAGGGAAACCCTGCTAGAAACGCCTGATTTCACAGCTAAGTTTCTCTTAATTTCTTCCTCAAAATAAATTGAAAACTATTTCTTTTTTCATTTCACAGATAATTATTTTATTTGTATGTATTATTTGTGTGCATAATGTTAAGAAACACACCATTATCAGCCAATTAAAGCATGATAAATAAGTGAAATTTAAATAAAATTGGTTTTGTGTAGCCACACATACTGCATATCCAGTCTCCCCTGCACATTTTGTGTTTCTACTTCTCACAGAAAATGTCTGCGGGACTTTCATTAACATATTAAATTCAGTAGCAGGTCATCAATGGGTTAAAAAGCTTGTGAACTAAAGTCGATGTGGGAGGTTTAAATTATTCTGCAGCAGGGATAAAAACATTTTCACTCAACATCCAGCCATGTTACTTTGGGAATAATAAAAGACCTTTTTTTTTGACAGGTTTTACCATAAATTAACAATCTAATCATCTCACAAATATCATCTCAGCACGCAACCCACTCGCAGCAGAGGAAGAAGACACACAACAGTTTCGCCTGACACTGACCTATATGCATGTTGTGACAAAATCCATGGCTATGATTCAGCAAGCACAAGTGGCCACCTCTCCGATACGCTATAGGGTTCATCAGTTGATAATAATGTTAAAGCGCTTCGGGGATAAACATGTTTTTAAGGGTTCTGACCTGGTCTTTCTTACTGTATGTTGATTTAAGAAGAACTTTGCATGACCTGACAAGTAGGCTACAACATTTAATTTGGGTTCATATGATGATGAAGGAATGCTTCAAGTTATCTAATTATACAAAAGCTTAAATGAATAATCAGAAAACTTTCCCCACAATTGGTTATGACTGCAGCAATTCTTTTTTTTATTACTGTGTTGACTGCAGTCAATTGCTCCGCAGCATTAATAAACTCTCTCACACACACATATCCTCTAATGGCCATTGGCTGATGAACCTGACTATAACAGGGAAGCCACCGCTCTGCATCAGCTTTCTACTGGCATGGAATCAATGCAGAACTGCAGATGTTAGCAAAAGCTGCAGAGGACACAAAAAAACACACACACACACACACACACACACACACACACACACACACACCACTTGTGTGTTCACACCTTCTCTGCAACATCATGACAACAGAGGGTTCTCAACATGACAGAGTTCATAACCTTTACCAGGGAATATTCTGTGCTTCTTGAGGAAGACTCTGAGAAGGTTAGAGGGCAAAGCAGTGGGATTAATTAAGTGTGACTCATTTGGTTCAGCCTGTTGAAGCAGAATGATTAGTCAGTAATAAAAAGGTTATGCGTTTAAGCAAAATGTAACTCATTTTTGCCTATGGCTCACATTGATAAAGGATTTAGCATTTAATCCTTGTGAGATTAAGATTTATGTCCTTTGTTGTGAGCTCAAACTGAAATGGAAATAGGTAGAAATCTTTCTTTCCTTCACATGTTTCATTATCTGCCCGTTAGTCCCTTTAGCTTTAAACTGGGCTCTTACAGTGTGATAACAACACAGGAATTCTTTGGGAATCTTGAACACATTTCAAGTCATGGAACCCAGAAATAAAAGAGATTTAGAAAGTGTACTTACGATCTTAAAAGGCTGACTGGTTGACAGGAGGGTTTTCTTTAATCTCCCACAAACACTCACACACACACAGAAGCGTCTGGTCGGTGGTGTGTGTCCCTGTTGAGAGACACAGAAGCAGAAAAGACTTGAAAATGTCCCTGTGTGATGGACAAACAAGAAAACAATGCTTAAATGTAGACTAATGTGTAGAAATGCTTTGAATAATCACATGAATAGATGAAAACCTACATGAACATGATTAAGACTAAAGGTCTGTGGGTGTGTGTAAAGGCCTAAGAGGTGTTATTCGGCTTACATATTGTCACAGTGTTTCTTAAGCTTCATTTCAAGTCCATCAACATCTAAAGGATCATTGTTCTTTCGATCCGTGAATTGTCGAGCTAAAACTATGATTTCCGATGTGCAGCGGCACGAGAGATACTTTATTGATGCTATTAAGATATTTATGACGCATAAAGAGACAGCTGTTTTGCTGAAATGTAAGATTCTCTAAATGTCCCCTGTCCTTTTTTAATGTGCAGTTTAGATAATCTTGTATCAGCAATTTATATACCGTCTTCTGCACTGTTTTAATTTCATTTCTTTTAACCCAATGTCGTAGTTTATAGTTACCTACTATAAAAAGTGTTTTATGAAGCCTGTTAAGCATGAAGTGCAAACTGACCCATGAGTAAAAAACCTGCTGATTTAAAAGATGTGGAATTATCTAGCGCTATATTCTGTGATGATGGCTCCCCTTTTACAAAAAAACTTAAATCACTAAGAATGGATTGCAGCTCCCAAAAGCTCCAAAAATTGTGCATCATTTGCTCCCGCTATCGACTCTGTCTCAAGGTCTAATTCATAAAGCATGCGATGATATTCAGGTGCAAAGACCCCCAAAAGTTGTCCTGCTTTTGTAGTTTGCTTTCTTTTTTATTTGCGTCTAAATGTGTTTAAAAATCCATCTGCACAAATGTAAAATAAGCAAGCAAGGGCAACTCAAAAAAACGAGCATCCTCCTCGTGTAGCGGCTCCAAACCGCTCCATAAATGTGGATGAGGTGTTGAGTTTCTTACAGCCCGGACTAATTCGACCACTAGTTATCTTAATCTTAGTATTTTATTAGTATTAGTAGTATGTTTTGCAGATAATTTATTTTAAAGTCAAACAGAGGCAGAATTGTTTTCCTCATCACTGGAAAATTTGCTTGTAACATCTCAAATAAATACAGCGCCACAGTTACTAATTTCTTTCTTTGGATCTCCTTTAGTCACTACCAAAGTAGCAGCTATTCTTCCTAGGGTCCACTCGGCCACTTCTCGAGCACACAGTGTAACCCATAGCCATGTTGACATCTTTAACTAAAGTAAGGTAGTCCATAATTTTGATCTTTTTGCGTTAAATATATCTTTGTTATGACTTTGGACTATAAATCATTGTTGCATAGTTTAATTGTGGGTTGTAGCCAAATGTAACCAACCTTCAATAATCCATAAATAGTGAATTGTGATTGGACCGTGTAACAGCCTAGTGTTTCAGTGATAAAGACAGCATTTTGTTTAAAAGAAGAAGAAGAACAGAACTGAACTGAACTGAACACTATAGCTTGAGGTCTGTTTGTACAACTGATGAATAGTTAGTGCCTGTAGTTGTTAAAAAGGACAAGAGCTATAAAAAAAACCCCATTAAAACATGATGAGGTGCGTTTGTGAATAGGGTGCTGACTTGATGTATGACTTGTATGAAAATGTTTTTTGTATGCACAATGTTTGTGCCTTTGCAGATAACTGGGGGAAAGCTGATCTGGTTAGAAAAATGTATCGTCTTAATTATGCGAGCTTTTGGACGCTCTTGCATTCTTAAGATTGTCAAGATGATCCGATATTTCATTTGATTATGTGCAGTCACTAGGTTGTCACTGGAATTGACCTTAACTTAAAACAGTTTGAAGATGTGTAAGTGTGAGTACATGGCTTGTGCATTTGAACCTTGCAGCAACCTTCAGCGAAAATATGTTCCCGTGCTCATGAAACAGGTCTCAAAATACTGTTTGTGAGCATTTCACCCTTTGTGAGTGCTTTGTGGAACTGACGCTATCTTGTTCTCTAATTTTCACATGTTTAATGGCTGTAAAAGAAGCACAGTCTTTGTGAATCAGGCCCTTTGTGTTTAAACATCTGATAATTTGAAATGACATCACAAGCACACTTCCTAATTAATGTGCAGACCCTGACTTTAGTAACTCCCTTTGCTGTTTATTAGTCTGTATACAAACTTTCATGGTTCAAATGAGTTAATAAATTACTACAGGAGATTAGAAACCATAATCTGTGTGCCTGACCCTTTAAACTTTCAAAACAATTTCTAATCCCAATGCACACATTGGTGTCAGGACAAGAATTCATAATGTGATCACACAGCTGACTTTGATTCACCAGAAAATAACCAGGCTCCTGAACTTCAATAACCAGTTTCCTTTGTCAATTCATTCAAAAACTGCAATGTTCATGCAAGCATTAGCGGATCGCATCACTTTTATTGTTCCTGTTTTTATTTTCTCTTCCTCTTTCTGCATCAATCAACACAAACATAAACCCTGTAACATAATGCAACGACTAAAAACAAAGTCAAAGGAAAGGGCAGTTTAACGGAAAGTGGAAGTATGAAAATATTTCAAATATATCCACCACTTAAACTGTTACAGATTTATCAAGGTTATAAATGTTATGCAAGTCATACCCTTAAATTAGCTTAGCTAACGTGTACACTTCTCCAAACAGGGGCCATTCTGACTATCATCTTCTGTAGATAATATATAACATTTGGTCTCAAGAGCCTCATAATAGTTTTCCATTTACAAAAACTGAACCATCCCTTTAACACCTGATTAAGTTATATTGCATTCCTCAGTTTACCTTAGCCTATGGCAATCAAGTTGTTCCTGTTCCATGTAGTGAAGAATGCAAGAAAACAAGATAATACGATTTTTTAAGCTTTAAGCTTAGCTTTTTGTGACTGACTCATTGTCTTTATATAGTGAAGGTCAACTCCTTTGTTGTTATTATTTAAGAGGTTAGGATTCTTATCAATGCAGTTTTTATTTTTTGTTTCCTGTTTTCTGATCTGTTTGACCCTGTTCATTCATGTTACTGCATGTCTCTGTGTGTGAGTAGGAGTACACTTAAGAGTTAGTACATCTATTTTTAGGGTCTAGATATCAGTTCCAGAAGACAGCTGAGGAGTAACACAGTCCTTTCAGGTTGAAACGTCGTGTTCCTTCATGCAGAGGATAAAAGCTGGTGTCCATAGTGACTGAAACATTTTGTCCCTGCACTGCTGATGATCCCCGCCATGACATGAAGAACACTATGATCTGACATCCAGACGCTTTGAGTGCTTTCTTTTGTCACTAGACACAATATTGATTGTACTCTCTTGTCCATGAATTAATTTTTGTTTACTCACTCTCAGCAATTTCACTTTGTTTTTTCCTTAGGTTTTATAAGTTGTTTTGGGCTTCTCATCAAGCCCTAACTGAACAGAATTAAAATGTAGGTCTCATTATGTGATTTTGAACCAACTAATGACACTCCAATCACTGAAACATGCTGCTCTAATTTAATATTTCATCACACTTTTCTAAAGACAGGAAGACTGAAATTCTATGCTCTTGTCGAGCGCAGTGTTCCAGTTTTAATGGGCTTGAGAAAATCCACATCCATTTCATAATTGCGCAAATGATACGTTTCAAAGACGGCTGCCTGCAGCTTTCATGGCAGGCGGCAGAGAGAGAGATGGAGACTCTTTGGGAAACTGGAAATCTCATACGTAACAGCCTCCCACTGCTTCTTACTACCGACCCAGGAGGATATTTACACTTCCAATATAAAATCCAAGATAAGAATCAGATCTGACACAAAAGTAGGAGGATATTAATTAGCACCAACGAGGCCCAGTGGTGCTTCCTGTGATAGTAAATGTTTCATTAGCTTGCGTATTGCAGGAACCTGCTTCTATTGCCGTAGTATCACAATAAGACTCTCTTACAGCTGCGGACACCAAAGCTGATCAGTTTGTCCAGAGGCAATGAGGCCCCTTTTTTTTTTTTTTTAGCTCAAAGTGTCAAAAGAGCGCTTACACAACACAGAGCTGGACCAAACTGTGGGAATTATATTTGGAAACGCTTCACTCAAAGGGGCTAACAACTCATAGATTGGTGGGAATTTGAATCGTTAACCTCTTGCTATTCCCCCATTAACAGTGAGAAGAGGACTATTCAGTAATCCACAGATAGTGGTTCAAAAAGAGAGCGGCAGACAGAAACAGGAAGAGAGAAAGACAGGGAAGAGAATTAATGAGTAAAGGCTATATAGGTCAAATAAGAACAGCAAATTTAAAAACATGGAAATCGTTAACTTTTTACTTTCCTTATTTTTATTACATTATATAATGACATTGGGAGATACAGTCATTCTGAACATTTCTGAACCCTGACATGTATCTTTCAACGCAACAACATTGAGCTCATCTGTGACTCTTGATTACAGAATATGAAAATTCTCTAAGTTTGAGAATCATCATAATCGTCATGTCTCACATTTTTGCATCATTACCATAGACTGTAAATGATAGTGGATGAAGCCTGAGTGACAATACTCACTTGTTACTGAAGTGGACTTTGGAAGCCAGTCGGTGGCGGTCACCATGCTGGAAATACTGTCTTAACCTAACTTTAATTCAACCTAATAACAGGCAAAGAGCCGGAGCAGAGGCGGGTCCTATTCGCCTCCTGACAAACAGATACAATGAGCCTGCCAATCAGTCATGTCAGCCACGTACCTTATATGAGTAACTCTCTTTCTTTGTAAATCAAGACGGATGAGTTATAAAAAAATAATTCTCCCCCCTGTACAGTGTGTGTTGATAAAGACATCAGCTAATCAGACAAATAATATTTTTGGAACCAGGCTGTACAGTGTTTAAATCTGCTGTAAAAACTGCATTTTTGAATGGGTGTGTATGTGACTTCTGGGGCTTTTGAAGTATCCTGGACACTCGATGGACAGCAAGCTTTTGCACTTTGGCATTGGCTTCATTTTTCAACACCATATATT